TCTCTTGTCTGCTTTTGATTTAGTTTTCTGTGTGAATTCTATTTCAAATAATATCACTTATATCTTGAATCTTCTGTGTGAATTTTCCTGATATAATACTATATCTGATTCTTCTTTGTGAATTATCTAGATATATTACATCATGTAACTAGAAAGGTTACAAAAAGAAATAGAAAAAATAAAAATTAATACTATCTGAAAGATAATAAACTTTAAAGTTAAGAAAATAATGCACTTATATAAGAAGTTAAAAGATATTTTAAGTCTTTTTATAAATATTGACAATAAAAAATTCATATAAAAGTTTATCTAAAAATTCTTTAAGATAAATAATCTCTTTTTAAAATACAAAAGCTTTTCAAGCATCATGAAAAAGCTCAAGATTATTCTGAAGAAAATTTGATATATTGGTTTTTAAAAAGATTATATACTCAATATCTTGAAAGACCAAAGTAATATTAGAGTAATTGGAAGAGCTAATAATGTATTAACTAATATTAAAAATATTTTTAAATATATAAGACAGAAAAAAAAATTAGACATTACTTTTATTGTGACTATACATTCTTCTGACATGGGTTATGAGAAAATTTACTAGTACTATAATAATTAGTTTTTTTATAAATTTTGATTTGAAATTTCTTAATAATCTACATATTAATTTATGTTCAAATTTTTTTATTAAAAAACTATAATAATAAAATTTTATTTATTTTTATTAATTTCAGATAGAATGTCCTTTGGCTTTAACTATAACTAAACATGTCTAGTTATACTTTTGACTAGAAATTGATAAATTGATTCATCTAATTTAAATCACTTTTTCTTTAATAAATTGAATAATTTAATCTTATTTTTTGGTAAAGAAGTATATTTACACACATAATACTTTAAATTATCTCAAATATTTTTAATTGGATTTAGATTAGAACTTTGTATAGGCTAGAAAAGTTGATTAATATTATTATCTGAAATCCAATGCAAAGTCAATCTTGCATGATGAATTTATACATTATCATCTTGGAATATATAATTATTTTGATCATCCAATCCTTCTAAATAAGATAACAAGTGGTTATTTAAAATATTTATATAATCATTTGCACTTTTCCTGCCATGAACTTGAACTAAAGATCCCATACTAAATGAACTGAAACATCTCTAAACCAGAATATCATTATGACCTGATTTAAAAGTTGAAACTAGACAATCAACATTATATTTTTCTTCAGATTTTCTCCAAACATAATCACAGTTATCCTCTCCAAACACTTCATATCATGACTCATCACTTCAGATAATAAAATTCCATTCTTTCCAGTCAAGTTATTCTTTTGCCTATTCAAATGAATTTTATGATTCCTTGCATTTACAAAGGATTTTCTCTTACTAACTCGGCCGTAAAATTCTTCTTTATGCCGATAACGTTGTATAGTACGAGAACATATATTGAGAACGGTTAAAGTATAGTCCATCATGTGATCAATCCTCTTAAATTTTCAGAGTTTACTATTAATGATTTTTATGATTTATAGGATATGGATAAGAGGGCAGAGGACAAAATTATATGTAAAATTGCTGTCCCGACAATTTTAATTAGCATTTCAAGACAAATTTAGGCATTAGTTGCGAGTAATTTTCATTTTTCATATCTTGTGTCGGATTTGTTTTGCCGGGTTGATCAAAAAATTTGCGCACCCTATTGGACATGGATCACATAATGGACTACTCCCCATATATTGGTAGTTGTTGATTCAACAAATTTGTTGGTCAAAACATTAGGGAAGACTTTCTATCTTTTTTTACTAAACGAACAAGGTGACGTGTATCCCTTTCAGTTAGTTTAGGCTGTTGTCAAGGACATGAAGGTGGTTTTATCTCACCAGTATTTTTGTAAAATATAATAACTCTATAGACAGTGCTTTTCTCAAAATTTAAAGTATTTATAATTATAGGAATTGGGACTCCGCATCTCCAAACACCGATGATTTGATTACGCTCTTTCTCGGTAAGTTCTCTTCGTTTTGTGGCCATTAGGATGAAAAGAAATAACAATTACATTAGACAATAGTTGAGGTTTCGACGAGAAAATCAAAAAAAAAATTTGTGTTATATCAGATATGGCTCAATACTTCACAATCACATGATTTTGATTATTTCCGAAACATAATAACATTTAAAATTGTTTTATTGAATTCGCATTTTGTATCGCACATTTATTTTAGTTTTATTACATTAAATTCTCATTAATTTTATTTTATATAGATATTCTTTATGGTAAAATTTTTGATAATTTCACACTTTGTGCTTTAGGGTCAGCGAAATTGTACTAAATTAATATGTATAATTTAATAACTGTGTAATGGTCAAACTGTATATATAGGATAGCCTTAGAGGACTGAGAGGCAGACAATATGTGGCTTGAAAATAAATAATAAAATTATTTTTAACTATTATCGAGACAGCGCTCCGTTTCGTGACTAACGAAATTGATTGTTATATTTTAGGGATTTTAATGACTTGTAGGAAAACTGCGGTTGATTATTGAACCGTAGGACCGTAGCGTTGTGCCACAAGATAACAGGGGATGAAAGGTTTTGTTCTGAGTAAAATGGCATATTCTCTGGCTCGTTAGTTGGAGTATCATCTATTTCGATTTTTTGAACAATATCATTGTGATGTGTAAACGATCGACTTCATTATCAACATCATCAGAGAAGTAGATAAGCCAACGGTTAAGTGAATTATTGGACTGTTTTATTTGATTGGATAAAATGGAATTAAAAATAAAAGGCAATTATCAGGAAAAATTCAAAGACTGTTGACAAAATATCAAGGAATTTGAAAAAATCCAAAAAATATGTAGAGGTTATAGGCTATATTTTCATCCAAAAATAAAAAATAGTTATTGGTAAAATTAAAAACTAGTATATATAGCGTCGTATCTTACTATATTTTTTTGTACCTCAAACAATGCAGATATTGATCATTGGAATTAAGTGCTTCTAAATAAACCAAATTTTATCGCATGTATTATAAACGTGTAGTTCCAGTCATTTCAGACAGACTATTGATTATGTATTAACGTAACGATCTCGTTACTTATTTTTATAATAATGGATAATAATTACTATGTTAATTCTATTTTATTTAATATACTTGTGCATTAATAGGTGTATTTGGATTTCTTCCGCACTTAAAGAAAACGAAAAAATAAAAAAAATATTCTTGTACATGTATCCTTATTGACAGATATTCCAATACATTCTAATGATCTTGTTCAGCAGAAATATTCATATGCATGTCCAATTGAAAAGCAGTCACATATGGATAATAGAAATAAGCATTTTATAAAGAGCGTAAATGATATTATATTATATTAGTAAATTTTATCAAATTTGTGAGTTTAAATAAAATCTAAAATAAAATCTAAAGTAACTAACACACAATATGTTATCTTTTCTAACGTATGAAATAAATAGTTTTAACTGATCATAACTATTTTAGAATTTCTTATTCAAATATTTGAATAACACTGAGTTTCTCCATGTATAACAACTTGTTGAATTAGAATTAAAAATTTGTGCCTTCTACAGGGGTCTGTACGCCGCCTACATTATTCTTTGCGCCATCCGTTGTGCCGCTTACAGTATTTTTTGCGCCATCCGTTGTGCCGCCTACAGTATTCTTTGCGCCATCCGTTGTGCCGCCTACAGTATTCTTTGCGTTATCCGTTGCGCCGCCTGCGGTATTCTTTGCGTTATCCGTTGCGCTGCCTGCAGTATTCTTTGCGCCACCCAAAACATCCGTTACGGGTTTCAATAAACCCGTTGCGGTATCCAAAACACTACCCGTATTCATGGATAGACCAACATCGGGAACTGGGAGACCATTGATTGTCAAGAGGAAAGTGGCAAAGAACGCAAGAAAGCAGGTGTAATGTTTAAAATTCATTTTTTGGTGGTGAATAGGCAGATTTCAGTGAATAAACCAATATTTATTTGATATTATAAAAGTGGTTGTTTCTAACGTATTTCTTCAACTGAACACCCATATTTATACATTCCAGATTTCCAAGAATCTGACAGTCTTCTTAGAAACATCGATGATTCCTCAAAGTATCATAATCGAGGTTGTGAATTTCTTGGTCACAGCGAGACCTTTTCACATAAATTATGTGACCCTTTTACATACATATATTTAATTATTTTATGCATCTCCTTGTTAAACTTTTAACGCTTTTCTGAATCTATGCATCTCCCTGTTAAACTTTTAACGCTTTTCTGAATCTATGCATCTCCTTGTTAAACTTTTGACGCTTTTCTGAATCTATGTACTGTAACTATATGTGAATGATGTGCAAATTCATTCAAATGCATGTAAATACATCTGTATGCAAACTTCTAAATTACATGTACATGTATATGTAGATATCGTCATTGAAATACATGTACAATATCCTAAAAAGTATTGCAAGTTCAAAATTATTGATACATATACTTATACATGTAAAAAGGGAAATTTTCAAGCTATATACATAATCATATTTTTTATAGTAAATCTTATATCGTTTTAAAGCTCATGAATTAACTATCTAAAAATGGTACAAGAGTATTGACAATTTAAAATGCGAAGACCGTTTTGGTTATAAAGTAAAAAAATATTTCTACGCTTTATATATGAAAAAATTTTTACCTACTTTACATATAAAAATGTGAAATATTTCTAATTTTTGTTTCAATTTAAAGCCAATTATTTGTAGTTTTCAAAAAGATGAGTCATATTTATGAAAGGCTTTAAATGCAAGAACTATTTAATTATAAAATCATAAATAATATTTTTACATGTATCAGTATTTAGTTATACTAAATAATTTCAAATCGGGTGAGGTTAAGCTTACTCTTTAGCGATGAATTGTCTCATATGTTCGGATAGTCAATTTGTTAAACAAAAAAGCAAAAGAATGCAAGCTCAATATTAAATTGTATTTTAAAACATTCAAAAAATGTAAAGTAAGCTTCCCTATAAAGTTTTAAATACATGTAGTTTATTGTCAGTTAACTGGATTTCAACACATTACATAACGAAAATGACAAGGTCATTTTAGTTCGTGATAACAATCTAAAATACAGTTATTCTTTTGAAGCTATAAATAAAAAACATCATTTGTATTCTCGGACGCAGAAACAAAATACAAGGAAGAAAGACATACTATGAATCATTTAAATGTACAAATTTGTGCCGAAACTACGGGTAGGCCAATAATGGAAAATGCTGGGGTTCATTATGAATATAGCTATCTGATATTTGAACGCGACTTCGAGATTCGCCTTAGATAGTCTGAGTATAAACTGTATATAAGTAAGAAAAGAGAACTTCTAATATATGAAGAAATATTTTTAACAATACGGAAAATATTTACTAGAATTTGTATATCTTTTATGAAGCAGGAAAAACGGATACAGTAAAAATGTTTAATTACGACAAAAGTGATGTGGGTCTTTTACTGATATTCTCTATGTTATATTAAGAGAAAGAAACAATTAGCTTTGTCAATGTAATCGATTCTTCAAAAAGGAACTTATCGTCGATATAGAGAATAATGATAATAGAAAATAAAAGAAAAGATGGTAAGAATTTTATTGAAATACCGTTTTGAGCGAATATTAATGACAATAAATGATAATTATGATATCAACAATTATATTGATATCATTATTGAGAATGAAGCCATAAAAATAAATAAGATTGAGTATCAATCAATCATCAACAATTTTCAAAGTCTGGTAATGATTTTATTACCATGAATTCAACTCATATATCATCTTTTCAACAAGATAATGTGCTATTTATATTGCTGGTGATATAAATATCAGGATCTCTCAGAAAGGTATCAAAAAACACCAAATTGATTCCCCATTACCAAATTACAATTTAATTGAGCATTTATGAAATCAATTAGAACATTGCATCAAACACTAGCTTGAATGAAACAAATGTTTTCCAAGTGTTGCATAGAATTGAAAAGAAATGTAAAGAACTTCTAAGGAGATTTGTAAGAAACCAATAAAAAAATCCCAATATATATAGTAAAAATTAGTGTTGATGAAAAATATTTTTTAGTGTAAAGTGTCCGGTGATTTTCTTCCACCGAGTGTACTTTTAACGTTAGCGCAAGTGTGATCAAGGATTGAATTATTTTGTCGGTAGCTATGTTGGGAAGTTTGGTATATCGGGGAGTTTGGTTGTCGGATGTTAAATTTGAGAAGTTGGATTGTTTGGATATTGAATTTTATACATATATAACGATATATATTGTTTGTAACAATTGTCACAAACTTATCTTCCGAAAATAATATCAATATACAAAAATCCACCTACGTATATCTTTATACATACAAAGTCGTAATCAAAAAATTCATATTTCGGAAATTTTTCTGGAATAATGTGAATTCTGCTTATGTATTGTTATCATTATTCCGGTATTTTATTTAATTCCAAAAATTGTATAAATTTTATTTCAGAATCTGTGCATATTACAGCATATTTTGCAGCGCGGTAGTTTTGGGCACATCTTCAGCACAGTTCCTTCTTTTGTTGTTCTTTATATTATTACATTATTTTATTATGTTGTTTTCTTAATTTCATCTATGTAATAAAAATTGTACATTATTAATAATAGAATTATCTTTAACTGATAAACAAACAAAATTTATAAAAATGGATGGCCTTGCCAACAATAAAAAAAATAAAATAAAATTGCGTACAATTTCTAGGTCCCTGATCCAGAAAAGGCAACGCATCATTAGAACTGATCGAAGAGTTCAAGGCTTTTGTCTAGAAATACATTATAAAAATTAATATAGGAATGTTTCCTAAAACACAATCTCTCTCCCTTCTCTCCGAGATATCTTACTCAAAATTCTTCTTAATTCCACAATGCTCATACTCTAAATAATCCCGAAATTCTCCCAGCTTCCACGTCTCGAACAGGAAATAGATTTAAACACTTACAATTGGTCTAATTACTCTCTCCCAACCCTTTCCACCCAATACTTCCATAAACGCATTAGCTGTGACAGCATTATACAACCAAAAATTTAAATGTATTTCCGTAACATTTAAACATATCTATGACATCCATATTAAATGTTTATCATATAGTATCAACTCTAATGTTTCTTTATTTCATGACTACTCAATACACGTAGTAAGAATTCCTACTTCATAGTCACAAGATTTCGATTATCATTAAAAAATTTGCAGTGACTTCATATTTCTCCTCTACTTCATGAACCATAATAATATTAAAAAATTTTTATTGAATTGCATTTTGTATTGTTCTCATTAGGCTATTTTTATATAGAAATTTTTCTTTATGGTAAAATTCATGCTGATTTCACACTTTGCGCTTTAGAGCCGCGAAATTGTACTAAATTAATATGTATAGTTTAAATAACTGTGTAATGGCCAAACTATATATAAGATGGATTTGGAAAAACTAATATTATAACACTTTGACTTATAGTATATACTTATAGATGTATATTGTATATTGCAACAATAGCATTTGATTTAATAATTATTGGACTGAGAGACAAATAATATGTGGCTTAAAATAAATAATAAATTATTTTTTTAACTATTATCGAAACAGTGCTCCGGCTTTTATTTCTTGTGGCTAACGAAATTGATAACGATTTTAATGGCTTATAGAAAAATTGGAGCAAACTGCGTTTGATTATTAGACGTAGGACCGTGTTATTGCGCAGCAAGATAACAGAGGATGGGATGAAAGGTGCTATATGATTTTGTGCTAAGTAAAATGGCATATTCTCTGGCTCGTTAGTTGGAGTATCTTATGTTTCAATTTCTTGAACAATATCATTGTGATTTGTAAATTAATCGACTTCGTTATTATCAGCATTATCAGTTAGGTTTGATAATTCGATAAAACGTGTGCGGCGCCGGCAGCTAAGTGAAATATTAAGACAGTTTATTTAATTAGGCTGAGTGAAAATTAAAATAAAAGGAATTTAATGATAAGTGATATATAAGAGATGATAGCACACAGTTTCACATATTTTTTCAGAATTAAATCCAAAAAATATGTGAGATTATAGGTTATTTTGATAAAAAATAAAAAATATTGTTGATAAAATTAAAAACTTGTATATATAGAAAACATCATATTTTACTACATTTTTACCATTTTTTATTGTGAACAGTATTCAGACTAATATAAAAGTGATACTATGTGATCTGGTCCACCAGCCAAAAAAATTTTAGACCATATAATTTATCTGTCATTTGTGAAATAAACTCAAATTTGCACTCTTTTAAACGAAGGGTACCCAACCCGATATGTCGTCAACTATGAACAGGTTTCTCAATCTACCATCATAAGAATCAAAGAAATATAAAGAGAAATAGGTACTTTAGCTACAATAAAAGCCTGGGCATGAGAGGTTAGTTACCGGCCACTATGCTAAAAACTGAGGAAAGTATTATTATTAGTAAAAACCCAATCAACCTAATTTGTGCTGTAATGGATTAAGCATTCAGTCAAGTATAATAAGCCATATCTATCTAAATTCCATAAGCATAACCATTTAAGGAAACATCTTGGATTATCAAAGGCTGAAGTAAAGTAATGTGGTTAAATGAATCTAAGTTTATGAGTTTTGAATCTGATGGTTGGGAATACTATTGAAGTATTATTATGAGACTATCATGTACAATCAACGGTCAAGTTTGGAGAAGGCAGTATTATAGTATAGGGATGCTTCACTTCAAATGGCATTGGCAACCTCTGCCATATTTATGGAAAAATGAATGGTGCCATATACCATCAAATATTGGAAGAAAAACTCCTAGAAACAATCAAATGGCATAAGAGAAATATTATCTTTCAACAAGGCAATGATCCAAAGCACACTGCACATCTTACAAAGAAGTGATTGGAAGAAAACAAGTTCGAGGTGCTTGATTGACCCTCTCAGTCCCCTGGATCTGAGCATTTGCGAAATGAAATGGACACATAAAAATGAATTGTGGGATGCTGTTCAAAAGATTTGGGTTGAGTTAGAAGTAGACATGTGTAATGGCTCATTGAATCCATGCCATGCCAATTAATGATGCAATTAAGGCAAAGGGCGGCGGTTATACTGGATGGTGAACAACAATTTATCAAAGTATTTTTTGTAATTGAATCGTTTTTTATTAAATTTAGTTTACAATAAATAAAAATAAAGGAAACGATCAAAATAAATGCATCGCCCAAAAAGCCCATTATTAATTAATAATTTATTTTTATGTCGTTTAATATGTTGCTATGACGATTTCAATAAACCATTTTTTAAATTTTGTGTTCAGGTGATGCAATATCTTTGACCGTCACTGTATATACTTCAAAGTCAATGCACTTATTTGATCATTGGAGTTAAGCGGAAGGTCAGAAAAAGTTATAAAAATGCCCCTGGATAAATCAAATTTTACCATTACATACGTGTAGTTCAGTCATCTCGAAGTATTAACGTAACGATCTCGTCACTTATTTTTATAATAATGGATTAATTCTGTTTTTTTAAACACACTTGTGCATTAATAGGTGTATTTGGATTTCGTCCGCCCTTGAAGAAGACGAAAAAGATATGAATAAAAATATTCTTGGAACACAGAATATCCTTATTGACAGATTTTCCAATACATTCTAATAATCTTGTTCACAGAAATATTCATAAAGCACGTATAATTGAAAAGCAGTCATGTATGGATAATAGAAATAAGCATTTTATAAAGAATATAAATGATATTATATTAGTAAATTTTATCAAAAATTTGTGAATTTAAATAAAATCTAAATAAACTAGCATACAGTATGTTATCTTTTCTAACATATGAAATAAATAGTTTTAAACTGATCACAATTATTTTAGAATTTTTATTTAAATATTTGAATAACACTGAGTTTCTCCATGTATATTAACTTGTTGAATTAGAATTAAAATTTTGCGCTGGTCTTTACGCATTCGTTAGACCACCCGTTGAGCCACTCACAGCATTCGTTAAGGGAGCCGTTGCACCACCCGTTGAACCACCCGTTGCGCCACCCAAAGTACCCGGTACGGTACCCAAAGTACCCGTTACGGGTTTCAGAGCATCCGTTACGCCACCCGTATTCGTTGCGCCATTCGTTGGTAAACCACCTGTGGATAGACCAACATCGGGAACTGGGAGACCATTGATTGTCAAGAGGAAAGTGGCAAAGAACGCAAGAAAGCAGGTGTAACGTTTAAAATTCATTTTTTGGTGGTAAATAGGCAAATTTCAGTGAATAAACCAATATTTATTTGATATTATAAAAGTGGTTTTTTCTAACGTATTTCTTCAAATGAACACCCATATTTATACATTCCAAATTTCTAAGAATTTGACAGCCTTCTTGGAAATACCAACGATTCCTGCCAAGACTCAAAGTATCATTATCGAGGTTGTGTATGTGTTGGCTACAGCGAGACTTTTTTCACATAAATTCTGTGACCCTTTTACATACATGTATTTGATTCTTTTATGCATCTCCTTGTTAGACCTTAACGCTTTTCTGAATCTACGTGCACTACGTACATGTTCTACGCAAAAATAATGTGAATGATGCGCAAATTCATTCAAATACATGAATCTGCATGTGTATGTACATGTGCATTAATTGTAAAATACATGTACATGTAGATGTAAATTTTTTGATTAGATGGTTTCGTAGTTATCGTTATCTCGAAAATAAACTATTACTCCCAAAATTTTGAATATCATTTGATAGGTGAATACATGTACATTATTCAACCATATAAAATTATCCCATCAGATTATTTTTCAAGGGCAACATATTTTCGAAGATATACGAAATTAGTTGAGCTTGATAAACTCAGATATTCGCTGCTGAACAATTCTTTTTTGAATGCATGCAGCGAAACACGGAAAAAGAAGGCGAAATTCGAATACCTCGTCATTATTAACCACCCCTTGCTTTTTGTTACACATATGTATCACCCCTTGTGGCATCGGCTCGACCAATCACAAAAATCGATCTCGATTGCTGTTTCCAAAATTTATTTTGTTAGAAAGACTTCGCAAGCGCTTGTCGACTACACACCATAGATGCTCGTTGAAAGAATGAATGGCCAATCAAAAGTAAGTCGATCTCATTTTCAAGAAATTAATTTTACTCGTTCGAATGATACTGATGCGTACATTTATTTTGATGTCAATCAAAGTGATAATATTAAATATAATATTTAAATGCAAAAACATCAAATGTCTTAAAGAAAAGCTACAAATTTATGATGAAGCGACTACAAATTAAGATGTTCTGAGAACGAATGGTAACTTCTTTGTTAATTAAAGTTAAAATTTTGATTTGTTAAAATGTAGCGTTTTAACGTTAAAACGCAACCTGAAATTAAAATCAATTATCTTATTCATTTCTTTAATGTGTTTAAAGAACCGACTAAGTTTCTTTCTTGACTTAGTGCATTTTAAATGCGATTAAAATATATTTTATATTATTGCCTACTCAAAGATAGCAATATCGATACATGTATATAGTACGTATGTATTATTACAGTCAATTTTTTACTGGTATTGTATGTCTAATTAATGAATCGATCGATCTTCTGTTTGGCTATATCCTACTTGACTTCTCATTAAGAATAATATCCCATTCTTTTGATGTTCATTTTTATCATTCTTCGTCTTTTTTTTTGTTTTCTGTACTTTCAAGATTTTTTTGGAATTATTACTAATGTGTGCTGTGGTGACCTCGCTCGCTAATATGTTGTTTTTTAGTGAATGACACAGAGAACCACTTCTGTAGGATCATCCAGAAATAAAATTAAAAGCTATCATATATTTAGAAAATTAATTCCCCCAATAAAAAGTCAAATCCATCTTTCTTCTGTTTAATGCAATCAGAAGTAAATCAAAACAGTAAATGGTGTCGACGCAACTTCACCCCTTTTTCTAATTACACGATCAGAGAGAAATCAAACGTAAATATGCCACGAAGCTATACAGTTAAAGCAACGAAAGCAACGAATTGCACGCTTCATTGATGAAAAACAAATGATATATTGTATATTATATTTACGTTGACGCGATGCTGCAGTAGAAATTGTAGTAAATCACAGTTCTAATTTTGTTGCTGTTAATGCAATCTGGTTTATGTATTCATGTCATCCCAAGCTCTCTGGTTTAATACACGTTCATTATCAGAACCGATCAAATATACATGTAGTAACGTATGTACGGTAGTGTGTTTATTATAACGTGAGAGATTCGTAATTGACATGGGTGGGTCTAAAAATCGATTAAATATCGTTATGGCCTTTTTTTAGTTTGTACAAGCGACGATCTTCTTGGTTATAACGATAACTGGTACACATGTAACGTAGCATGTACGACAAGAAACAAGTAAATACAAAATGACATCCAACTCGCTATTGAATTCACACTTGAATAGACTTGACAAATTCTATGAAAATTCCGACTACTGTGACATTTCGATTATTGTTGGTGAAAACCAAAATACTCAACGTACCTTTTCAGCTCATTCGGCCATCTTGGTAGCGCAGTCGCAATATTTTGCGGTAGCACTTTCTGATGCTTGGGTGAAGCGAGAACCGAATCAGATGATTATCTTTAAAAAACCGAATATCGAACCTCAAACATTTGAAATACTATTACGGTAAGATCATGCTAGCATAAAATGTTGCTAAAAAAGTAATATTTAAAGTTTTTGGTTTCAAAATTTATTAGATACATTTACAGCGGAAAAATCAACTTGCAAAACAATGGTGTTTCGAAACTCCTGGATTTATTAGTCGCAGCCGATGAGTTGCTTCTTGGGGATCTGATTGAATATATCCAAATTTATCTTCTTGAGTACCATTCTAAATCTTTGATAGAGAATTTCACTTTAATCGATCAAATTGCATTCGAGCATCACTCGTTTACCAAACTACATAAATTTTGCACAGATATTAAATATCAAAACCCAGCTGCAATTTTTCAGTCAACTGATTTTACCAAACTACATGAATCAGCTCTAGTTTGTTTGCTCAAACGTGATGATTTAAATTTGAATGAGATCGACCTTTGGGAAAAGGTGCTTGAATGGGGAATCTCTCGAACCGCAGAGATGGGAGAAATCGATCTGACGATTCCAGTGGAGAAATGGACGCATAACGAATTTAAACAACTTGAACTTACGCTCAAACATTGCTTACCATTGATCCGTTTCTTCCACATCAATTCGGTTGATTTTTATAACAAAGTTATGCCCTATGCTGAAATTTTACCGGAAACACTTTATAAAGATTTGCTACATCATTATTTGGTGCCGGGCAGTGAAAAACATAAGACTACCTTATATCCAGTTCGCAACAAGATAATTGCCGATTCTTCAGTTCTTTCTCAAGCGCAGATTTTTAAAATCATTGATTGGATTAAAGAAAAAGACAACGTTCAGGAAAATAAACCAATTGAATTGAGGTTGCTACTGCGAGGCAGTCGTGACGGATTTAAGAATACCGATTTTCATCGTGTGTGTGACAATAAAGGCCCAACAGTTATCGCTATTCGTGTAAAAGACAATGAAAAGATTATTGGTGGATATAATCCGTTCGAATGGAATTCATCTAACAAAAACTACGCTTCTTTAAACAGCTTTTTATATAAATTTAATTCTGATGACATTCAAGCTGTCAATGGAGTTCTAAGCGAATATAAGCTAGGACGAAGTGTGGGATGTTATGCCTATGATGGCCCAATTTTTGGCGGTGGTTGTGATTTAGCCCTGATTGGTCCCGATTTTAATACTCTCAATAATTACTGCATAAAAAAGTCCTACGAGCATGGTTTATTGAACTCTACTGGAAAAAAGTCTTTCGATCTCGTGGATTATGAAGTCTATCAAGTGGTGCAAAAATAATTTATTTTTTTGTCTTTCATTTTTACTATAGTTCATGCTTACAAATTTTTGTTATAATATAATACATGTATTACTAATTATATTTTTCATAGATATGTAATTTTACTTAGTGAAACTTCATAGTATTTAGACATTTTGCTATGTGGGCATACTGATAGCAAAATTTTATTTTCTTCCAACATTTATCAAATATCGAAATATCTTTGTTTAATGCACTGAGATTTAAGGAAGATAAAGCGATAGCAAAATAAATTCTCGTTTTACCTTTATTAAAGATCAAAATTCTTAAGCTAAATATATAAATATCGTTTATGTTGTTCACTGAATTTTATCCTTTGTGCTCCTCTCTGTAATTATCGAAAACCAACATCTTATGATTAATTTATTAGACAACTTGAATATTTTAATTCCAAACCATCCTGCAATCATCACGGCCAGCAAAAACAAAATCGACGCGAAAATCCAGACATCCCAATTTTCTGCATACCAAACACCAATTCTTGCATCAGCAGTCTGCCACTCACTAACAATCGGTATATTGCCAGCCCCTTCAACATGTTTTGCGGTATGCATAACCAGCTCTATCAAATCAGCGGCACGATACTTTCTCAAACAATTAACTCTAGCGAATACTTGCATCCTTTTTAAATTTTGTGCTATTGACTGGTCGGTCAGTAGCCTCGTAACCTTTACGAATAAATCTTTTTCGTCTAATGCTTGTTTGGAAACAGTCAATGCACAACCTTGCATCGTCAATTTTTCGGCATTTCCATTTTGATCCAGGTACAATGGTAAAATCAACATCGGCGTAGCGGTGTATAACGCTTCAAAGATGCTTTCTGAACCGCCATGAGTGAGAAATATTTTAACGTTTGTATGATTCAAAACGGCGAACTGTGGGACCCAATCGAGAATTTTAATATGTGAATTCGAGTTAGTCAGAATCGCTGTGGTGTTTATTGAAATGCCACTTTGAAGATTGATTGTTGATGGAAAATCTGTCCTTAATGTTTGAGTTAATGCCCAGATTACGCCATCGAGTTTTTTTGCGGCGAGGAGCTCCATAACAGATTTCAGTATTTTTCCATTATTCTCAGGTGTTGTATAGAAACGATCTCCGAATGCAATATATATTATTCGTTCATGTGAATTGATAAAAGATTCGAGGGATGTTGTTAATTGAGGATACGAATCATACATTATAGGTCCAATCTCCTAATAATAAATAGATTTTACGATAAGTTTATCTGTTCTCGGAAAAATTTTGATTGCAATTTTTATATTACCTGATAAAGTGGCGGTAATGTTTCTGCAATCTAATAGTCCTTAGTGTTAAACAATCGAGTAAAAATTTGTCCAATTGACGCATAAAATAAAAAATACCTCAAAACCAAAAAAAGTATTAGCCAAAAAAAGAGAGTTTCGAGTTCTTTCTGTAGGATATGAGACAGGTTCAACTCCAACCGAAATACGTTCTTGATTAAAATATTTCAGAGATGATTGATACCAATAAAACGCGACTTGTGGATGTTGAATGATAACACATCGAAATCTCTCAAGAAAAGATTTGCCTTCCAATGTAACGTGGCATCCAAACATTGGGTCGGATTTGTAAGGTGCTTTTGAAACTAAAACGTTAAAATTACAAATCAATTACTACCTCATATAATTTTTCTTCATAAGTTAGATTTACCTAAGCCCAATGCTCCGTTATTGAAGATTACTACCGGGATCTTTAACGTCCACGCAACATCAACACAAGGTTCTTCGCCAACATCACAAATCAATAAATCTGCATTTTTTTCTAAAGATACACGCTTTAGATTGTTAAAAACGTGAGAGTAATGTGCTTCTATTTGTCGCGCGAGAATTCGCAAATGGCTGATATTACATTCTTCTTGATAAAGTTTTCGTGATTCAGAACTGTGCTCTTTCATCACAGGATCAAGATCGTAAAGTGGAATTTGTGGGTATTCGTTTTCTACGGTTTTTCGCGCATTTGGTGCCACTATTGTAAACTTGATTTGGTTGCAAAATGTCATTGATCGTTTATCGTTATCAATTTTATATAAATCTAAAAAAAAAACTTACATTATAACTCCTTTTCATCAGCAATGTGCCAATTTCAAGAACAGGTTTTACATGACTTCGGCCTTCAATTTCGAAAGACACAATTTTTTATATCAATACTTGGAGTGACGAACGATATTACTATAAAGATTCTACTTACCTCCAAACATTGAACAAAAAACAATATTTTTAGGCGCACGTTCGATATTCGAGCCAATCGACATACTAATGTAACTCTTATTCGTCTTAAATGTAGTTTCAGCAAAGGATTTAGTTTATTTCATTCTGTCATATGTATGTTTTTATATCTTTTATTCATCTATTGATGAAATGATTTTAAATATTGTGATGAGTTGTATTAGACACAATATTACCAAATACTATATATAAAGTATGATAAAAACACCGATTAATTAGGTAAAAACATCGATTAATTAGGTTAGATTTTTAAAACTCGAGTACAAAGGATACCGTAATGCTGCTGAAATAGCTAAAAAAAACTGGAGTTCCTTTTTAACGCTATGTACCTATTTTTCGTAAAAACTTCCAACCATTCATCGTCCTAGTAAAACTACACCAAAAAAGTCACCAAATCGGGAAATTTTTAACTCAAATTATGCTTAAATAAAAGTGTCACTTAAAGAGGGCTTTAAATTTAGTTACCGGACGAGCTTTCAGGCTCAGTTATATTTCGAAGTTGCTAAAGAAAATTGAATTTACTCACATCGATTATAACTGGAAAAGATCATGATATCGATATTGTCTGCTAAATCAATCACATGTATTTAAGTTCATGTGTGGTGTGCGATCTGTAACGCAAAAATATAGATCACTATCTTTATCATCAAATTCTCAACGACGGTGGTTCTTCAAGCACGATAATAATCCCAAAACACCTGAAGCGACATCCGAAATGATCTCGAAACACGACTTCTAAACCATGTTTTGCCATGGCCATTATAGTTCAGATCTCAATCCACTGGAGGCGGGAGAATTTTCAAATGCGATGTTACTTAAAATCACACTCAAGAATGCATTGCTATGGAAGAAAATCATACTAAATACAGTCAGTATACACCCCCGTTATTAGCGTTGGTCATTGGACGGGTTGTTTTGATATAAAAATTTCTTCATAGATATCAACTTCCGGTAACGGTCAGAATCCCGAAGAACACAATCCCGAACGTTCATAAGCCCGAAAGATCGAAATCCCGAAAGTATAGTACATTATCCCAAACGCATGGAATACTAAACTTATCACGACCTCGGGATTTCGTGCATTCGGAATTGCGATCATTCGGGATGTCGTCCATTCGGGATTTCAGTCATTCGGGTTTATGTATGTTCGGATTGTATTCTTCAGGATTTCGTATAGTCTTATTATCAGCTTTTTTGTGTTTTACGGATATATAAGTACTCGTTGCTATCCACTCTATCAACAAATTGCCCAGTCCTATGAGGTTGCTAGTAACGAGGTCTGATTAATATTTTGTGCACATAATGTTATAATTATATTAATTAAAATATTCTTTTGTAAAGTTGTTATTAAAAACCAATCGCCATTACTTTTCACAGAATCACTAATACATTATGTTTAAAAATAATTATTATTAAATATTTCTCGCAAACTTGGTTTGACTTTTAATTCTTTAGAGTTTTTAGAGTTTTTAAATATCTTGTGAATCCAATAAATTGATGAATGTAAATCCTTCATAACTCCATAGCCGTACTGAAAAATCGACACCATATACAGTTGAGAATTGACATGTCCTAATTCAGCGCCAAGTCGAAAATAGTATGCAGAAGCGCGAAAATCTTGATCGACGTGAATTCCATCGTAGTAAACTCTTCCCAAATTATCAAAACTGTCCGGCCATCTGGATTTTACTGCCTCATTATACCAATTTCGCGCGAGGGTAAAATCTTTATTTTCATAAATATATCCCAACTCATTTTGTGCTAATGGGTCTCCGGTATTGGCATTTTTGCTGTAGAATTCTATAGCTTTTGTCCGATCCCTCGTGGTGCCGATTCCACGATCATAAAAGAATGCTAATAGTGACCCAAATAAAGTTGGATTCTCTGAAACACCGATCAATAAATTAGAAAATAAGAGTTCATCGGTGATTTGATTTTTTGGATTTTTTTCATTTTTTTCATTTATCCAATTTCTGATGCATCGTGAAGCGGTGTCTAGATATTCGCACGTTGCTATGGTAGAGCGAAATATATCAAGTAAATCTAATAACAAAGCTTTTTGTTCTTCATCTAGCGAAACTTCGCTTGAATCATTCATATTTATTTTTTCTTGAACTGCCGAACAAAATAACAAAACATCACATCGTGATCAATTTTTTCATGTATATAAATGTACAAATTAGCGTTAGTGTGACAGTTACATGAGATGATTAGTCTTTTATGGTATGTAGATCAAATTTATCATGTGATAGTAAATGCGTTGTCACAATACTCATGATTGTAGTAAACACACTACATGTGGGTTTATAACGATAAACGATGAATTGAGATAAAGAATCTAATAACAAAAGAAGTACCGTAGAACTCGGAAAATAAGCACCCCCTTTTGCAATTGAGTAGTCAAAATTACTAATAAAAATGGTTATAATGGGATGCTTACTTTCAGGGAATGCTTATTTTCCGAGTTTTACTGTATTTAAATTATTTGAGTGGATCTTTTGAGAGATTTACCAACGTTGAATATCTTGCGAGAAGAGGCTTTGAAACAATTATAAAGTAACCTAGTTGATATATCAAGTGGGATCACGAAGAAAATGAATGAATAATAAATATAAGTTGTGTTGAAATCATTACACAATTCAAATCAAATTACTCAAGAGTTTATACACGAGGAAGGTGAAAGTTGCTTTTTGTTTTCTGATATAATCAAAATTGTTCTAAATTGTGCTGTTGGAACTATTGATTATTATAGAATAACTAAAAACCTGGTTACAAATGAATACTCCATGATTTAATATATTACATGTGATTCCAACGAATTGAAGACAAAGATTAAAACTACATATCTCTTTAAATTAGCCCCCAGAGGTGTTAAGTGTAGAAAGCCATACACTAACGATTTATAGCTTTGGAATGGTGGATACATTATGCTTTAAAAATAACTATTATTAAATATTTTTCGCAAACTTAGTTTGACTTCCAATTCTTTAGAATTTTTGAATAACTTATGAAACCAATAAATTGATGAATGTAAATCCTTCACAACTCCATTACCGCGCCGATAAATCGACCCCATATTCAGTTGAGAACTGACATGTCCTAATTCAGCGCCAAGTCGAAAATAGTATGCAGAAGCGCGAAAATCTTGATCGACGTGAATTCCATCGTAGTAAGCTCTTCCCAAATTATCAAAACTGTCCGGCCATCTGGATTTTGCTGCCTCATTATACCAATTTAGCGCGAGGGTAGAATCTCCTTCATTTTCATAAATATATCCTAACTCATTTTGTGCTAATGGGTCTCCGGTATTGGCGTTTTTGCTGTAGAGTTCTATAGCTTTTGTTCGATCCCTCCTGGTGCCGATTCCACAATCATAAAAGAATGCTAATAGTGACCCAAATAAAGTTGGATTCTCTGAAACACCGATCAATAAATTAGAAAATAAGAGTTCATCGGTGATTTGATTTTTTGGATTTTTTTCATTTTTTTCATTTATCCAATTTCTGATACATTGTGAAGCGGTGTTTAGATATGCGCACGTTGCTATGGTAGAGCGAAATCTATCAAGTAAATCTAATAACAAAGTTTTTTGTTCTTCATTCAGCGAAACCTCGCTTGAATTTTCCATATTAACGTTAATTTATTCCTTCTTTGAACTGCACGATAATAACAATCGGTGATCATGTTTACATTATACATATACGTGTATAAATACATCTAGAGTTAGTGTGTCACTACATACGATCATGAGATCAAAATCACTACATACGATCATGGGATCACAGCTCAGAGAAATGCTTTTATTATTTTTCATATATGTATAGAGTTTTGACATTAGTCTTTTATGGTATGTCGGTCAAATTTAGCATACTCATCATATGAAAAATGCGCGCTAATTATCGTTATCAAGAAGATACATGTACATGTAGTTACCACATGAATGTAGTAGACATACTAACGCTAAATGGGAAAAAAAGTTGCCTGTTTCAAATACATGTATCACAAACGAATTTACAACGATGAATTGACTAGCGGAGATAAAGCAAAAGGAGTATTTAAATTATTTGAATAGATTCTTTGAAAGATTTACCAACGTTGAATATTTTGCAAGAAGAGGCTTTGGGACAACTTGGTTGATAAATCTACAAATGAGAGCACGAAGGAAATAAATGATGATGAATATAATGCGAATTTGTGTTGGAATCATTACACAATTCAAATCAAATTGCTCAAGAATTTATACACGAGGTAAAAATGAACATCTTCTAAGATGAAAGTTTGCTTTTTTGTTTTCTGATATAATCAAGCTTTTCAAAATAGATTCAAATTGCTCTAAATTGTGCTGTTGGTACTATTGATTATTATGGAATAACTAAAAAACCTGGTTACAAATGAATACTCAATGTTAATGACTTAATATATTGCATGTGATTTCCAACGAAATAAATTGGAAACAAAAATTCAAACCACTTATTTATATGCAATAATAAAACAATGAGGAACTTGGAAATACATTATCGTTATTACTTAAATTACTTATTTTGATCCAGCAGATATAAAAATTCAATCAAGAAATTACGGTGTATTTCTTTAGATGTTAAGTGGAAAGCCATACACTAACGAACTAGGTTGTAACAATACGACCTACGATACCAAATAATATGCCTGGATGGTGCAAATTTATTATTGAAAAGTGTTGGAATTCTATTCCAGAAAATAGACCAACTTTTCGAATTTAATTGATTCTTCCAGAAAGTGAATATGCATATTTACTGAATACTTTACATTTCTTTAGAATATTCTAAACAGGTGAGGTCTTAAATTAGCAAGACAGAAATTGAAAGATCTTGACGAAGAACAAAAAAGCAGACAAAAAAAACAAATCCACTCATAAACAATTTACACCGTGTCATTTCAACTGATAGTTTTATATTCAATGTCATTAATTTAAATATATTTAAGTTAATTTATATGTTCCAAATGATATATTATTTTTGTTACAATATAACGATAAGTGTATATTTTATTTGTTTGCATATATACAGAATTATTGATACGATTTACAAAAAATTTTTACCCAAATTGCGAAATTTAATAATACTTATTTCAATTGTTAATTATCACGCATTTGCTTTTAACTCAACTATAACACAGCATTGTTGACAAGCTTATACAATTGTCTTTGAATTGTAATTTATTATAAGAACGGAACGCTACGTATATGTCTAATTCCCGAATACATGTACGACGTAGTTTTACATATATTGTTCCGATTCCAACACTGAATTGCAAACAAACACACAATTCAATGTCGCCCTTCATTTCTATCACCATATTTCACGAAATACGCACAGGGATGAAATTTCGATTACGGTCTGAATTAAGCTTAATGCATGCCGTGATTTGAGCTAATGCATGGTCGTTATTTCGCGAAATACAGTAAATGTATGATGCGAAAAGAAACTTCGATATGTAAATTTCCATAGGCATTAGATATAAAGCTCTCTTTGTTTTAACCATTTTATATAATTTCACATACAACAAATTGCTTCTTTTAACAAAGGTACAAAGTGTAACACATTAAATTTTTTAATAAGTTATCGAATACAGTATATCTTCCTTCAAATTTTCTTCGCCATATCTTGTCTAATCAAATATTCTAATGATTCCGTAATAAGAGAATAAAAATTTGAATATAAGAATTGGTTGCAAAGGATAATTCCATATATTGTTATGGTGGTGGTAATATTACTTATTATCGTTATGGAATAACTAAAAATCAATGAATATTCGGTAGTGATACGAGCTCTTTCTAAACGCTATAACGATAGTCAATAATCTGAGAAACATTAAGATAAATTCATACGTCGAGGCTTTTTATCCTGGATATATATTATTAATGCCTCAAATTGCTTAATTTGACAGCATTTCAACAAACATAAAAAATATAACCAGGAATTTTGTAAAGCACATACTTATATGAGACTAGAGGTGTTAAATGGAAAGCCATACACTAACGCTGCAGATATTTATAGGTTTGGAATGGTTGTGTATGAAATTATAACAGTTGAACAACAATTTGTGAACGGAGTCATGATATAGATCATGTATACAACTTCTATAAAGGAATATGACCTACGATGCCCCGGATTTTGCAAATGAATTATTGAAAAATGTTGGAACTCTATTCCAGAAACAGACCCCTGTGGAGCAATTTTAAACTATATCAAATCTATCAACTTTTACAATGAACTGTTAAGAGACTGACATTATTAATCAACTATGAAGTTTAATGGTTCAATTTTGATATAGGATTGCATGAATGCTGATGGAGTTGTTGAGCTCAAAGAAATCAGTGGTAAAATGAAAGCAGATGTCATTAATATATTAAATACAAATTTGTTAGGCTCATTTTTGACAATTATGCTGGAAAGGATGAAATTCTTTTCAGCAAGATAGTGATCTGAGAAAAAGCAAAAGATTGATTTTACAAAAATGAGCTCGCGTTCTCAGTTAAATAACTCAGTTCTCTACTTGGATCCTATTAAAATATATAGAATTAAGTCAATATAATCCTGAGATAACTTCTTGCACATTTTCTAATAGCAATGAACTATGAGAAAATTAAAAATTGCTTGAAATAATGTTGATGCTGATTAAGATTATTTAAATCAATCGCTAGAATGAATTAAAAAATACAGGCCAAAAGAAATATATATAGTTAATTTTACATGTATAGTGGCACTCAAAAGTATTGCATCACCTGGATAATAAATTCATAATTTAATAATATCTCATATACAACATCAATTAATATATAAATAGGATCAATTTAATCTATATATAGATGAAATATCAGATCATATTTATTTTTCATATCATACATTTAAGAAAAATAAAATATATTTACATTAAATCAAATGATTTATTTCTTTTGATTATTTTGATAAATATAATCAAAATTGCTTAATAAATTAAATAAATTTATGAAAATTTAATTTTTAATTTTAATTATTACTTAGTATAGTCACTGTAGTCTTCTAGTTATATAGTGTAATTTAACAAGAATTTACACAGAAAAGCAAGTCAAAAGTGAAT